TTTTTCTTAGAGAAGAAAGGAAAAGAAATGAAATTGTGCCACATGTATACATAATGGGCTGTGTAACAAGAAATAAAATAAGGTTTAATGAGAACTCCCTGGCAGTTTTGGTTTTTTTTTTACTGAAGTCGGACCATGCACCTGGATTTGCCGTAACTGCTTTTTGTCATAATCCTCACTTGTCATATGGCTCAAAGAATAAATCTGTTGGCAGCAGTGCGCATGCCAGCAGCATGAACAACATTTTCAGCAGTGGAAGAATCAGTTTCCATTTGAAGAGTGACACAATACAAGGCAGAGAGGTTGATGTCTGTAAGGTCCTAGTCAGAGATGAAGGTGTCTGTGGCTGGAGAGCTTATTGGGGTGAGGGTTCAGTACGGGCTGACCACAGGTAAGCAGCAGAGAAAAATGAACAAACCAGCAGAGAATTACAGTCCTAGAGGTTTGAGACAGAAGTCAGGTAAGTTTCACTTATTTTTTCTGAGGTCTTAAAAGAAGTTTTGCTTTTTGTGATTCCATAGATAAAACCAGTGCTATACCTAGATTTTATCACAAACCTTCAGAAGGTTTGGGCATCTTCTAACATTCAATTTGTGTGGCCAAGCAGATGCCTCAGAAACCTCTCTCAGCTCTAGTGAAGTAATTGTGGGCTCTTTTAACACCATACACCTTTATTCTGAAATGTGGAGAACACTTGTTTCCTGTGATCCAAAGGGAACTCCTTAAGTAATTTGAAAGGTGTCATTAGACCTATGATCTGAACAAAGCCACCTCTCTTACTTAATTCCAAGATGTACAGAAGTTGCCATTATAGACAGATGACAGACAAGTGATGTCATTAATAAAAAATAAGTTCCAGTTTGTTTTTGAAAGGTCTTTCAAAGAAACCACATTTTATACTACCACTCAAGTCTATCTTTTCCTTCAACTAACTTTCATGTGACTACAACTGAAACATGACTTAGAAAAATTGGGATACTTGCTCCCTAAATCATAAAACAAAGAAATCAACTTGTACTTTCATTATAGAAAAAAAAAAAAACCATGAGAAAGTGACTTAAATATCAAGTTTCTCCTGCTTTATAGCTTAAAAAACAAACTCCCCTGCTTTGTGAGGGGATTTTTTTTAAGTATGGAAAACTGCATCTTCATCCACATCCTTTATCTAAAATGATACAACTGTTTTCCTTTTGCAACTAGAGTAGTTTTGCTTCTTTTTCTTTTACTAACACTTTTATCCAAAAATTAAAGGCTACCTCATAACTGCACAAATGGAGTTCAAGAAAATACATAATAATGAAGAAACAACTTACAGTGATAGTGTAATAGGAAAATTCCAAAACTACATTCACTAAAATCTGAACATTTTTTTCTCCACATTGTTTGGTACATTTTATCTTCTGAGAAAGACTAAACCAGCAATTTTCTTATTCAGAAAACCCTGTGCACTGCCAAAAAAAAGAAAAATACCTATACCCTGAACATAGATCTTCTGGGTGTGTAAAATGTAGCAACTATAGACTAGATACTACTTCCCTGTCTTGAGGTGTCACAACTGACACAAATGTGCCTGTGCCCTGTGCTTTGTCTGAAAAGATAAAACTCTCAAATATTAAAAAAACCACAAAGACAAAGAAGCAGAAAGAACAGATCTTTTTAAACAATTGAAGAATTCTATCCACACTGGACAAGTGCTTCTGAACATACTTCTGTACTTATTTTTACAAAATAAATGGACAAATAAGTTACTTTTACCCTAATAAAATAACAGTTTGAGTTATCTTATGCTATTAATATTAATGTGGTTACATGAAAAATATTGCTTTTCTTTTCCATTTTTGAGGGTAAGTTGGGAGAGCTGTTTCCGTCACAGTGATCTTGCTGGTATTGTTTTTAGTGGAACTCTAGTCAACTTGATAATATATTAATTTGGTAATATACTTCAAATAATTTGGAATGTTCAACAACAGTCAAGGATTATGGGGTGAAAATAACCTGCAGAAGGCTCACAAGTCCACCTTAAAATACCTGAACTGAATAATATCCATATGTGAGAGCTTGAATATGGCAAGATGAAGTAGGGTGTCTGGATTTAAAGGAAATTAGAATAAAGAAGAAAACATCTTTAGAAAATGTTTATAGTACTTGTAATACAAAGCAGTTCTATGCACAACAGAATCAGTTCTGGAAAGAGTAAATTTATGTCCTTGCTACAGAAAAGCCTAGTGATCATAAACCTGAAAATATGTGTGTAATTTTATTATTCTTTGGATTTAAATTAAATTTAAAAAAATTAAATAAAACTTTTCTATGAGGCCACCACGAAGAGCTCTGAGACCTTTACCATGCAACGTGCTGCTAATGAGCACCCATAGAAACAAAAAATATCTAACAACAGGCAAAAGCATGTACATTGTAAAAGTAATCAGCCAAAAGAGCTCAGTTCTTTGGCCTGAAGGAGCAAAAAAAATGTTTTTAAGGGAACCATTACAGTACAGAGAAGCCCTACAGGAATACTGAAAGAGTCATCAGTACAGAGTTAAATTATGAATCTGAGATTGAAAAGTCACAGAAGAAATAGAAGAGGAAGACTTAAAAAAGACTTAAGATAGTGTGTGTGCATGTGTTAGTAAACAGAGCAGCAAAGAGCAAGCCAAGTTGCAGTGTGACGCATCCATATCCATACATGCTATTTTTTCTCCTGCACTTTGAATAACTGCAAGCACAGTGTGTGAGAACTGTTAATTCAGTAACAGGGATGATGACTACTTCACAGGGTAAAATTAGTTTGCTTTGTCACTTCTAATCTTACTGTAGACAAATACAGGAATCTGAACAAAAGGCCATAATACATTCAGGTTATCTGATGATGGGGTGTTTAACCACAAGCAACATCGTAGGCTGGGATGGTGTGGCTGGACAGTGCCCAGGCAGAAAGGGACCTGGGGGTATATGGATGCTAAATCTGAACCACAGTGCCTGTACAAATTACAGGCCGCACGGCTCCTCAGGCTGCCTGAGAGAGTGGCCTGGGAAAAATATGAGAAGGAATTAAAACAATTCTCAGGGACACTGAACAGCCTTGCAGGTGTTGTTTTGCAGTCTTGTTTTCCCTTGCAGGAGAAGGCCAGGGGGGTGATGAGTGCCCCTGACCAATGATGGTAATGTAGCACTTTGCTAACCAATAGGAGTTTCCTTTCTGTACTTTCCACGTATCTGTCTATAAGACAGGCCTGAAGCAATAAACTAGAGAATTCTCGTGTTGAAGCTCCCTTGAGAGCTCGTGTCGTTCTTTTTAGCCGTTCCCAATTGGAACGACAGGGGTACTGGTGAGTGCCCTGGTGGCCAAGAAGGCCACTGGCATCCTGGCCTGGATCAGGAATAGTGTGGCCAGCAGGAGCAGGGAGGTCATTCTTCCCCTTGGTACTGGGCACTGGTGAGGCCACACCTTGAGTGCTGTGTCCAGTTCCGGGCCCTCAGTTTAGGAAGGACATTGAGACTCTTGAGCACGTCCAGAGGAGGCAACAAGGCTGGTGAGGGGCTTGGAACACAAGTCCTATGAGGAACAGCTGAGGGAGCTGGGGTTGTTTAGCCTGGAGAAAAGGAGACTCAGGGGTGACCTTATCAATCTCTACAACTCCCTGAAAGGTGGAAGATGGGGTTTGGTCTCTCTCACCAGATAGCAACTGACTGAACGAGAGGACACAGTCCAAAGCTGTGGCAAGGGAAATATTGGTTGGATATCAGGAAAAAGTTTTTTATGGAAAGGGTGATAAAGTATTGGAACGGTCTTCTCAGAGAGGTGGTGTAGTCACCATCCCTGGATGTATTTTAAAAAAAGACTGGATGTGGTACTTGGTGCCATGGTCTAGTTTTTGGTGTTAGGGCTGGGTTGGACTTGATTTTGGAGGTCTCTTCCAACCTAGTCATTCTGTTGAATTGTGCTGTTCTTTTGAAGAGTAGGTGAAATTAAAATCTTGCTAGTCATGAGTGCTGCATTTTTCAGTATCCAAGGTTAAGCCTAGTAGTATTGCTATAACTCTTCCACATTAACACAATTTGGCTTTAGGAACTCAGGAATATTTTCAGTACTGGTTTACATCATTTATTCAAATACTCTATGCACTTAATTGCTCACTCAAATAAATATTTTCTTTGAGCAATCTGAAACAGAAGTAAACCACAATGCAATAAAGTAAGTACAGGAAGAGGTGGAATACTTACTGCTGCCAGCAAAGGCTGTCTGAAAAAGCCCATAAATTCTAGCCATTCTTACTGCTATCTGCTTTGTGTACTGATACAAGAGTGTCTTTCTCTGCAATATAATTGTCATTATTCCCCAAATTATAAGTTCTTAATGGGATAAAAAAGGAAATAAATACACTTTAAAAATCAACCCACTCAAAATTACAACCTGTCAAGTAACTTGAGGACGCAATCAAGACTTTGCTTTTCAATTTTTCTTTGGTAACAACATTAAATATATCGAAATACAAATGCTTTTTTAACATTCACTTTAATTATTTGATTCAGCCCTATACAGTTTTCTCTCAATGTGTAGAGACATGGTACAAGACTAACTTTGAAGCGAGTGTATATTTACAAGCCTGATGTTTGTTTGCATCAAAGCCTTTCTACACTCTGGAAGAGTGTAGAAAAAGAAGAAGTGGCTCTGTGGAAGTACAGTGTAAAGTATATGCAGATTGCACTTTTCATTAGAAATGGCTTCCTTTCAAAGAGCATTTTATAGTATTTATGGCATTCACAGTGACTTGACTACAGTTTCCAGGTGCACCACATAATGTACAATTTCTCAAGCAAACGTATTTCATTACTTGAGAGCCATACTCTGCTTTAAGCTCTCTGCTAATTAACAAGGGCAACAGTTGTATATATTATGAGTCATGCATTTAATTTCTACTACAGTGAATTAATTATTTATATTTTACATAACGGGCACTTCAACTACTCACAACACAGCTGCAAATAACTTTGATTACCTGATCTTGTGATTTCTTTTTCTTCTTCTTCTTCCCCCAGCACCCTGAACTCTCTGCATCTTTTCCATTGGCATCACCACAGAGTAATCCATCAAGTTCATCTGTTCCCATCTGCTGTCCCTGAGATGTTTCTGCAGCTAGCCTGTATGAGAGGTTCCTCAAAATGCACACACAGTTTTCAACGGTCTAAAAAATATGACAAAAAGAAAAATACAGAAAACAAAACCAGAAAAAAATTAAAATCCTCCCCTTACTCTGAAGACAATGCAGAAGGAATTTTATCTATCTTTGCACGTGCATTTTCCCAGCACAATTCTTATGTGCACATTTCTGACTGCTCCCCAGGTAATCACAGGTTAAGAGATTCAGAAATTTTTATGGTAACAAATTAGTTGTTACCATATCAGGACAATGCTTTTCTGGGAGTTTTTTATTGTTGCTCTGAATTTCACACTGGAGCCCCATGTGAAACAGATGCTGAAGTAAAAAGTGATCAAAAGAATCTGAACACTCCGAATGTCAGAAAACTCCCACCTCAGTGAAGAGAAAATGCTAAACAGAAAATGGCAATAGATTCTGGGTTTTGTCCTTTTAAAACCAGAAATAACCATTTTTTTCTGGCAAAAAATCTATGTAAATTGCCATAAAATTTGGATATGAGTTCCATTTCACAAGCACTTGTAGCATGAACAGATGATGTTTCTCCAGTCCCAAAAGTAGGACTAGAAATCTGTCTTGCTACTTTTACTGCTTCTGGCCAGGCTGCAGACAGATAACTTGTGTGCAGCCTTTTCCTTTCATCCATTTATTCCCCTAATAGGTTGTGCCTTCTGTAGAAGATGCAAGCAGGAATTCATAAATGGATGAGACCCAGTGATGGAAAATTCACTTGTAATTCAACCTAATTTCTCCAAGTCTAAAAGAAGTTCAGTTTAGACATGAAACCTACTCATTTAGCTGGTTCAATTTGGTTTGATTATTCCTAATAAGAAGGATATGAGCTTAATTTTCTGCACACAAGGAAGGCATGGCTAAAAAAAGCCATTATCTATCTATTTATATTTATTTCAACTGTTCCTAATGCTCCATGGAGATAAAAAGCAATAGCCACTACATCCAAGCTCTTTTGCTCCATTAACCCAGAATGGAATGACTGTGAGGCTTTCAGTTCTATCATATTCTACCATATTCACCAGTGAGGCAAACAGATGGGGCTTCATTTACTTCCATATATGACGTGAGCTTCTGCCAGGTATGCATTCAGCACACATTTTTGTGATGATACCAAGTTCCAGAGGGGATATCGAATTCAGAGTCAATTATACAGGAATATTTATATATATCTATTTTTAAACATAGATGAAATGTCATGATTTTGCAATACAATTGTACTAATTTGAAATTTCTGCCAAATATATAAACACAAGTAGAAATATGTAGGCGTGTGTCTGTGTCTAGAAAGTGTTCTTTGTGCACCTTTCATAGCTGAAAGCTTTGCAAACATCACAGTGACCATAACTATTTTTTAAAGTTTGCTGCCTTTTTCTTTAACATGAATTTTATTCACTTTTGATATAGTATGCTGAAGTTGAAGCTTTGCACATGTTGATTAGAATACTAAACTTTAAGTTTCCTTTTCACAAATCAGAGTTGTTGCATTTACAATTCTCATTTTGTGGAAAACATAAGCAGAGTCCATCAAGAGGACAATGTTGCCTTGAACTAAAAAAACCGATAAACAAACTTCTGAGGCTCAAATGCAACCACCTTCTCAATTAAGGTGAATTCCTACAAGCCAAGAAAGCTGGTTCCAACCACACAGGTGGACAGACTTCACTCCTCCTTGACTTTCAAGGATCCTTGTATTCCTTGTTCTGTTTTCAGTTTATCATAATGGGGCTAAGTACAAGTTCACTAGTTTTTCTACTCTAGCTACTTTTAAGCTACTAATGAAGTTAAGAACTCCCCTGTGTTTGGGGAGTATTCTGCAGGAAGTATCTGGATGGGGTAATGGTGGCTGGCAACACCCAAGTGTGCACCAAACCCTGCTGCCAGGCTTTGCGCCCACCTTTTGGGTGGGTGTCCTTTGAGCATCCCTCTGCTAAACTTCTATTAATGGAAAATTGATATAGGCTAATGGGTTGTGGGATTTTTTGGGTGTTTTGAGGGTTTTTTTGTTTTTACTTTTTTGTTGTTTTTTTTTTAAACACAAAGCCATTCTGTTAGCCCAGCACCTCATGCTATGAACCTTAGCTCCTCTCTCTGTCCCCCGAATTCATAGGCGAATTTCACCTATTTGATTCAGGTAGTGACCAGAGACTCCTGGAGATTATTCCTCTCAAATCTATAAACCCATTGGGGTCCACAGACAAGTCTATGAAGTATTATTTGGAAATACAAACCCAGTGGGCTTTAAAACCTTGCTGCATAAAAAGCTGCTCTCCTGCAATGGTTTGCAAATGGTCTAAGGTTGCCCTAGTAATTAATTTAGCACCATATACTGAAAACTAAACAAACTGTCCTTTTTCTTCCTCTCTGGAGTACTTTAATGCATTATAAATCTTCAATTTCTAAATGCTTGGAGTCTTTTTTATTAGGGAGTGCCTTTCACCTGTGGAGAAGCTTGTTCGTATCCTAGCATTTTAAGAGAAGTAAAGATGACATAATGAAGTGTATTAACATAGTTGTTATTGAAAGCATTCATTGGTCCTCTTCAAAGAAGAAGTAATGTTGGTTTTACTGCAAAACTACCTATTAATCTCCCAATTTTTTTTGCTTCTTTGCCTTCTAAGCCTACCTCACATTAACTCTCATACTGGGTACTGAAAATCAATTTTAAGGTAAAACTGGCAGAACAATGTAAGAAACTTTACATGGAATATGATGTAGTTGCTCTTCTTAAACCAGCATCATATTTTCAACTTCAGTAATTCAACTGAGAGAATGACATGCTTACCTATGCACACTACACAGGGAGATACAAATACAATGCTTAGCCCACTAAAATAAACAGCTCAGCAGAGAAATTAAAAGGAAAAGATGGGATAAATTATGCTTTGCTAAGACATTCCTCACAATGCACTACAAAAAGAATATCACGGAAGAATTGTCTCTTTATAGTCCCCATGTACCCTGAATACCTGGATTTGCTGCTGAAAAGACAAAGGCGACAAACCTTACTATCAATTTCACTGCTCCCCAGAGCAGACTGGATCACGTACAGCAATGCATCTGTCAGGCCATCACACTCCCTCATTCTTCTGCGGGCCTCTTCTCCAGCAGAGCTGACATTCCTGCAAGGCAACAGCAAGGGTCACTAAATCCATGGCTCCCTGCCCACTGCCCCACCTAAAACCTTCTCACATTTCACATACAGATAAAAAACAAATTTTCTTTCTTTCTCTCATCATTTCAGAGCTGTGAATAATGGAGACAGCTGCGAATGAGCTCAGGAAATGTAACGCAGAGGGGAACAAATGGAAGACATCAGGTCCTCCACAAGATGGGGCTGAGTGGCCAAGCAGCATGCGCCCACCTGCATGGCTCCCTACACACGGCCCACTAAAAGGAGGTGACCCTTCCTGCCTTCCTTCCTCCTTCACTTCCCTTCCCTTCCTCATATAAATCAGGTTTTTAAAAGTCTAGAGGTTTTGCATATCTCCTAGCAACTGAGAACCCAGTAGTTAGGGTTCTTAACCTGAGAGAAAAATATTATCAGAGCATAATATAGAACACCTGCTATTGCTTGCTTCTCATTTTACATGAGTGTTTCCTTTTCTCTTTCATTTTGAGAGAACATTAATGCCTCAATTTTTTCTTTAGGTAGTTTATTTTACATAGCAAAACTTAAGGCCTCAGATTATTATAACAATATTATAGAACTTGTGTTCCTTAGATGGGGCCAGAGGGTCTTCTGACACATTTATATAAGTTCAAATAAAAAAAAAATTCAATGCATAACACATTGTGTCATAAAATTCGAAGTACTGATACACAGAGAAACAAATATGTATGAATGAGCATATACAAACAGAATCTATGTTTGCTAACATCAAGTCTCAGAGAAAAACTGCATGCAAATTTGCATAGCAGGTTTGATTTGGAAATGGGTGAATTAGCAATCTCAAGAATGGGATAAAATTTTTCAGTCTCCTTCAGCAAGGGAAGACAACCCTTTGCTGAAGCAGTTCATCTGTAACTCTTGTCTCCCCACTACTAAAGTTTATACAAAGAAAGAACATAAAAAGTACACATACCAGACCTATGTATTTAATGCTCATGTGTGAAATGGGCCCTTGAATTTGGGAAGAAGGCAAGGCATTTTCTATCTTTTATATAATTTTCAATGACCTTTGCATTAAAGATGGAAAAAGCACAAGAATCCTGGGAAGGGGGAAAGAATTTCAGATGGAGGAGGGTGGGAGGACCTAGGATTAGGTTTCCTTTCAATACTTTTTCTTCTCTATCTACTTCATCCTGTTCTGTCTTCTTGTTATCTAAAAAAAAAAAAAAACAACATTTCCATTCTCCCAAAACAAGAGTCTTATAACTGGACAATCCCCCAGTCCCTCCAATGCAGGTTCCTAATTGACTCTGCAGCCTAAACATATATGATTCACCATATATACTTGCATCCCCACACAGTCCTAATTAGTGCTATTCTCCCACACAAACTAGCCCAATTAATTCAATAGTGTTACCTTCACCTCAGAAGACAGCTTGACAGAAACCATATAGCCCTGGAGCACTGGAATGAATTACTGTATCTCTCTAGCAAACAAATTTACTCTCTTTGAAAACCCTTATTTTTTTGCCACATTACATATCAGAAGCCTGCCCTTCATAATAGCTTGCAAGTTTTGTGTTGTCTGGTTTCTCTGGTCCTTGAACTCCATGCCTCTCCTCTTATCTCTCTTCTGCTTTAAGATTAGCAGGTGATTAGTGGTTTTCCTTCAGTTTACGGGGAAACTTTCTTCTGTAATCTAGGAAATAGGGTTTGGAGAACATCAGAAAAACTCTCTCCCTTTGAAGTGATGGAAACTTCTGCCTTACTTTTGTGTGGCAGAAATAAGAAGGTAAAAATATAGAGCATGGTTTTCCCCAAACAGTGCCTGTGCATTTGGAGGGCTGGGGACTCCACCTAAAGTAGACTAGACCACCCCTTTTTAAAGGCTAGAGCTCCAGTGATATTCCAGAAGGGCAGAGTATGTAGAAAAAGCAGAATCATGGACTGGCAAAGCACATTGTGTGGTATATAGTGAAGACAAAATTTGGGGATATCAAATATTTATTTGATATCTACCTGAAATTTCATTCTCTTACTCTCTAGGCAGATAAAAACAGAGGTAGGAAGATAAATATAGATGGAGAGAGGGCATTGAGGCACTGGTGCAGGTTACCCAAAGAAGTTATGGATGTCTCATTTCCTGCTAGTGTTCAAGGCCAGGCTGGATGTGCCTTTGAACAAACTGGTCTAGTGGAAGATGTTGCTGTTCATGGTAGGGTGTTAAAATTCAGTAGTCTTTAAGATGCCTTCCAACCCAAACCATTTTATGATCCTATGACTCTATGATGAAAAAAGGAAGTTCTATCCAGCCCTACAAGAGCAACTGCACAAATTATAATAGGAGGATATGCTGAGGAAGAGTTCTCAACATGGCTTTGCACCTTTCTTTACACCACTATGAGAAAAAAACCTGAAATATGCCTGAATCCTTTTAAAAAGAGATAGATCTTCAAGTCTGGTCTGTGTGGGACAATAGTCAAATAAGAGATTTTTAGGCTTCAGGCATTAGCTTGAGCCTGTGTGAAACTAAGTCACATAACGTTCTCACTCTGGCCTGAGAAATCATAAGGAGAAATCCAAACAATCCTTAGAGACGGGAAACAACTTTTGCAGGTGTTGTTTGTTGCCTCGTTGTTTACTTGCAAGAGACGGTCAAGGCTTGTCGTTCCTAATTGTCCAGTGATGGTGATGTGTTGGTTTAATGACCAATGAGAGGTTTACCTTTCCGGACCTTCTCAGAACTGTCTATAAAAGAAGATCTGGAAGAATAAAAAGTGCTTTCTATTGCAACCAAGGCTAGCAAGTCTGTGTCATACTTTCGCCATTCCTAATATAGTGCGACAAGTCTGTACTAGAATAATGTCTCCAGGCTTCTTTATGTTCTGCACTTACATATACTGAGTCCTAGCTTTCAAAATAGACTGATTTAGACACCAGTAGAAACAGATATATATAGTCTCCCTGATCGTCTCATTGAGGTGATTTTTCCTTCTATCACAGCCAATTGTGCATCACCTTGACTTCCAGAGCCTGCAGAGACTGTCAGCCTCTCAGTTCCTCTCCAAGTTCACCAGAAACTCCTCCTCACCAAAACAGAAATACTTATACTCAAGTATACTTAAGATAACCTTATACTCCCTGAACTGTGAGCTATCTGCCTCATTCATTTCCAGCATACAAAGAATATGAGGCCTTTACACAAAGCAATACAGACACACCAGGAGTACAGTTTGCATAGACAATGCATTTCCTTGCTCTGTATGGAGGAGCTGTCGAGTTGGGTTCTTCTGTTTATTATTCTTCCCCATTATGCTCCAGTTGCTCCTGTAACCAAGAAGTGGATATTCTGAATTCCCATGACTGCCTTTCCTTCTCTTACAAAAGTTGCTGTTTACTTTCTGCACTGACTCATAGCTACTACAGCCCTCCCCAAGATATGGTTCACTTATTTACAAGGGAAATAGTTAAAAAACAAGACAAATCCAAACCTTGCATCAGCATTTTGGCATAAATCATCAGTTGATTATTTCAAAAGAAATACATCCCAATATCTAGTTAGTCTCATGTCACCTCTACTGAAGTAATCACTGTTAACTGAGATCATTCACAGAGGGTCTCTAATATTGCCATGTTCAGGCTATGTAGTTTTGCAAAAAAGAAAAGTTCCAGATTACATGAGCTGTCAGAGAAAACACGCTGCCATCTTAATTTTATTTCTCATTGTTAACTTGGACATGATGTAGCTGTCAGTGTGACAGGGAATAAGACATGATTTGTCATTTGTGAATTTTCAGGTCACTGTGCAGATGTTAAATTGGAGCATTAGTAGTATCTACTGTTGGTAAGATGTCCCACTAAGTCAATGCATATTTTTCCTGTCAATTTTCAAACACGTGAAACCATGTTTTCTGGAGGCCTTAAAGGATGTGGAAATATGATGCATAAGTTTTCAGGGAAAAAATATTTCTCCATTCTAAAGGCAGCCCAGCTTGATCACCCTGTATACTTTGATTCTTTGTGTAAACTCTACCCACGGTATATGTGAGCCATAGGCTGTCATTTTGAAACTAACAGGGCAAGGAGTCTTCAGCCTGCCATAAACCAGTAAAATGAATCTCAAATAGAATCCAGTCATGCAGGAATACAATGAATAGAGAGGGCTGAAAAATAACTCTCGCTTTAGTTAGAAAGTCCCAGTTATACCTCTAAAACCAAAAAAAGCTTTTTCTCAAGAGAAGAACACTATGAACAGATAGAGGAAGATGTTAGACGCATGGCTGATCATGCTTTTCTGAGCAAATGGCAGACTGACTTTGCTAATTACCTAGGAATGGGAAGACAACTAAAATAATCCAGCTTCAGTTTCATGGGAAAATGTACCAACTATAATATCATCACCTGAAAACTAACAACGGGCATGATTCTCCATACCTAAGGCATATCAATCAGTCCAAGGTTCTAGAGATATGGGGTGTGGTATAAAAGAGTGCACTGTGCAACACATACCTGACTCCTGTCAACCCTGAACTTGCATTAGTTATTCAATGCAATTGTCAGGCTTCGAGGTAGGGGAAGACGGGCAGTGCCAAGCAATTTATTTCTGTGTTAGGGTCCTTTTCCATACACTCATACAAACTGTGGGAGGTTCAGAGCAATGTCCTTATGATTCTACGATAACTAAAATCATCTGCCTTATACTGGGTAGGGATATTGATTTTGATGGAAATATCATCCAGAACGCAAACCAATGTGCTGAGACATGACCTCTGGATATGGGAATATTTAGCAAGCTGTTGACATTACTCCCAGTGGCAGTTTTATCCATCTCAGACAGAATTAAAGCATCTGCACCTGACCTCTCTAAGCATGCTCAGGTTATGCCAAGTAGCAGGATCTCTCCTGTAGCAGCTATCAGTCTGCAGATTGCAGATCTCATTGCACTCATGCAAAATAATGGCTGAAAACAAATAATCTGCATTTAGCAAAGGTGAACTTGAGAAAGGTGTT